GGTGTGTGTCACGCTAATCGTCTCCGAGCTTCTGTTCCATTTTGCTCATCTGCCCGCCACCAGGCGCCTCAGCAGTGCGGGCGCCAGCTGCCTCTGCTCCCGCATCCCACTCGCCCCTGGCACTTTGGTCTGGGTTCTGCCCTGCTCCGCGCCCAACACCGCTCTCTCCAAGGTCACACGTGTTCCTGTCACTGTTTCCGAAGACCCACACGATGCCCACCTGCTTTCTGCAGCGTCAGGCCCTGTGGGCAGCTTCCTCCTCCATTTGATTCCTCCTCCCTGGACTTGCAGGACATCTCTCCTCCGCTTCCTCCTCCTACCGCCAGCCCTCACCTATTTGTCCTGCTCCACTACCGCCAGGTTCATCCGAAAGCGCAGCCCAACTGCTCCCAGTGAGTGCAGTCCTTTTCGCCAAAATTCTCTCCTAGGTCTCCCTCGTTCCAACCTGACCCACCCTCAGGGCTCCCGCCAATGTCACCTCGTCCACAAGCCTTGCCTGATCTGCGCGAGAGGCGCTCACTCCCCTGCGGAGGCCGGTGGCGGTGGCTGCCTTTGGCAGGGGCCTTCCATCCTGTGATAATCCGGTTACTCGAGGGGGCTCTTAGGTATAGCTCACTCTTGTTCCCTCAGCACCTCGCTAGTAGGTGCCCAACAGACCTCTATTTACTCTCTGAGTAAACCCACCACACACACAGACACAGACACACACTCACAGACACACACACTCACAGACACACACGCACACACTCACAGACACACACGCACACACACACTCACATGCACACACACATACATACACACATACACCCCCACACACACAGACACACACACTCACATGCACACATACCCACACACACACACATACATACACACATAAACACACTCATGCACACACATGCACACACATGCACATACACAGAGACACCCATACACATGCACACATGCACACAGACACACATACACAGACACACACACATACACATACATACACACATACACATACACACAAACACACACTCACATGCACACATACACACTCACCCATACACACACACATACATCATACACACACTCACACACACACATACACACACACATACACACACAAACACATACACATACATACACACATACACACTCACACACACATACAGGCACACATACACATACATGCATCATACACACACTCGCATACACACATACATACACACAGACACACACAAGCACATATACACATACACACACATACACATACATACATCATACACACACTCACATACACACAAACACATATACACATACACACACATACAGGCAAACATACACATACATGCATCATACACACACTCACATACATACACACAGACGCACACACGCACACACAGACACATAAACACATACACATACATGCATACATCACACACTCATATATACACACACATACACACAGAGACACACACAAACACACAAACACATATACACATGCATACACACATACATACATGCACACATACGCATACACACATACGCATACAGACATACACACACACATATAGACATACACCCGCGCGCGCACACACACACATCGGCCCCCATGTTGGTGCTTTGCATGTTTTAGGGGCTTGTTTTTAAAGATGGCGCATGGGTGACCATGCTGTCTCATGTACTTGCCTTCATCCCTCCCACCCCACCCGGCAGTCATGCCAATGCCCACACACACCCGCTCTGGACACCCGTTTAAGAGCAGAAGATCACAGAAGCCTCACTGACAGGGAGAGAGGTGAGAACATGAGCAGGAAGTGAACAGAAATGGGTGCATCTGGACGTGCCCTCACATCCATCCATTCACTCCTACAACACGCCAGGCAGAGTCCGAGACCACAGCAACAAACACAACGCAGCTCTGGCCTATGGAGTCCACGGAGAGCCACAGGGAGGTGCCGGCTGCCAGGCTGGGCACAGATCCTGACTAGGCATTGCCCAGGGTAACCCTCCCAGTGGCTGCCTGGTGCTCATGGCTCTGCAGGCCTCTCTGCCCGAGTCAGGCTCAGGCTGCAGCCAACCACGTGGGGCCTCGCTCAGGCCTCAAGCATCTGCTGGCCTTTGCACCTTCGACACGCTGACCGAGCCGCCCTCCGTCCAGCCCCTCGGTGTCTCCCTGCAGGGCACGCCCGTCTGATGGGTGACTGACTCAGCCCTGTGGAGACCCCCACCGCCCTGCGGATCTGGGCACATTTTCTGAGACCCAGCACATGCTGTGCCCGTCTCTACGCACACACACCACTGTGTGCCCTTCCCCGCCCCCAGGGCACTGAGTGCCTTTAGGACAAGGGCATGTCTGCATGTGCAAGCCTGGCCAGTGCTTACTAACAAGAATGTAGGGCCGCATTGGATACAGGTAATGGAGGTGCTCATGTGTCAAGCTAAACGGCTCTAGCCAGCCCGGCCAGCGTGGCTCAGGGGCTGAGCATGGACCTATGAACCAGGAGGTCACAGTTCCATTCCTGGTCAGGGCACAAGCCCCGGTTGTGGGCTCGATCCCTAGTGTGGGGCATGTAGAAGGCAGCCGATCCGTGATTCTCTCTCATCATTGATGTTTCTACCTCCCTCTCCCTCTCCCTTCCTCTCTGAAATCAATCGTATCTAATAAAGAGGCAATATGCTAATTGACCCTCACGCTGTTGCAAAGATGACAGTGCCCACAGCTAATAAGGAGGGAATATGATAATTGACTGCCCCGCCCTCAAAGATGACGATGCCCACAGCCACAAGATGGCGAAGCCTAGTTCCCTCAGTCCCCAGCCGTACAGGGCCAGCCCAAGGCGCAGGCAAAACCTCGGATGGCAGCTGCCCAGGTGCCCAGGGCCACCCGAGGCTCAGGTAACCAGGGCGGCCAAGGCTTGCGCTGCTGGCAGTGGCAGCAGCAGAGATGTGATGGGGGCATTGCCTTCCCCTGATTGCCGGCTGAGGGGACCCCCCCCCCCTCCCGTGCATGAATTTTCATACACCGGGCCTCTAATAAAAATATATTTAAACTAGAGGCCTGGTGCATGAAATTCGTGCACGGGAGGGGGGGCTCCCTCAGCCCAACCTGCACCCTCTCCAATACAGGACCCTTTGGGGGTTGTCCAACTGCCAGTCAGGGATCGGGTCTAAACTGGCAGTTGGACATCACCCTCACAATCCGGGACTGCTGGCTCCTAACTGCTTACCTGCCTGCCAGCCTGATGCCCCTAACTGCTCCCCTGCCTGCCTGATCACCCCAACTGCCTCTCTGTCTGCCAGCCTGATTGCCCCCTAACTGCTCCTCCCTGGTGGCCTGATTGGCCCCTAACTGCACCCCCCTACCGGCCTGATCTCCCCTAACCACCTCTGCCTTGGCCCCTGCCACCGTGGCTTTGTCCGGAAGGACATCTGGGAGATGTCCAGTCTAATTAGCATATTACCCTTTTATTAGTATAGATGGTTTCAGACCGAACCCCAGACACTCCAGGCCAGGTCTGAGGGGGCGGGACAGCGGCACCCTCCTGCCCACCTCATGCTCTGTCTCCTACAGAAGATGAGAATGTACATGTATGAGGCACAGCCACTTCCTCTGCTCCTGCCCATGGCAAAGGCAGCAATGGACAAAGGGCGCATCCTCTGGCCCAGCGTCCGGGGAAAACTAGACTCCTCTTCCTGGGAACCCTGTCTGTGTGTCTGTCTCCTGCTGGAAGAGAGAATGGGAGGTCCAGAGAGAAGGAGTGTAGGCTTGGGGCTGGGGGCCTTGGCAGGAAGCCCACCCCACCCGGATGCGGTGAGCGCCAGGCAGGAGGGTCTGCCCCGACACTGGCGGGATGGGTGCCCGCAGAGGGAACAGAGCTCCACACAATGCACTATCTGGGGAGTGAGGGCCCCATTTCACCGCTACTGCCCCCCCCCCCACACACACACACCCTGCTTCCCCTCAGCTCGCAGCAGGTCCCATCAGGGCAGTGAGGGCTCTGGCCCTGGGTTCCAGTCCCAGAGAGCCGCCACGCTCTGCCCTGCGCCCTGGGCAAGCCGCCTTACCCTTCGGGGCCTTTGTCTCCCCAGCTGTAAAACGGGGCCAGAATTGGAGCGGAGGGTCTGGGGAGCCCGTTCCGCCGGGACAGGAATAGACCCAGTTTTCCGCGGCCGCCACCCCGCACCGCTCCGGCTAACCCCACCCGCCCCACAGCGCTT